GAGATAAAGATATGTATATGAGAGAAAATTGCAACACTTCATCGGTGAGAGAAACTAGTGATAAGGCTAGTATCAACTATCAAAAGAAATTTCCCGAGGTAATTATAAGTTTTTTTCCTTACAAACTATTCTATTTTATTAATGATAATGACTTTATATTTTCTATTTGTTTAGGGCATTTCATCTTGCCAACTATACTTATCGTCACCGAATTATCGACTAGTTGGCAAGGGAAAAGTGCACAACACTTCGGGAGATTTACTTCACCACAGACCGCTCCCGGATGGACACCTGAAAGTATCGGTGGATGTTGTATTAGATCGTGATGCGATTCTACCGGTACCTGACATGGTCTCAGAGACGACATTGCTGCGAGATGCAATAGGATCATTTGTTGCATGGCCCTCGGAGCTCATTACCATTAGTGATGAGGTATACTGAAAACGATTATGAATCATTTAGTTTTCGAATGTCAATTCTAAACCGTTTATTAATTATTTTTTACATTTTAATTTTAGACTGCTCCTATAAAACCCGCAATTAAGGGTAAAGGGATTTTACAGGAGGAGGAGTCTGTTGCATCACTAAAAGAGGTACATTTAAAGTGTTAATATATAGTCTGAATCTAAATCTGCATGATTTTATATTTTACCTAACTTATATGATTTTTAGGCATCCGCTCGGGAGTCACAACAAGTGACGCAGCAGGTTCGTAGCTTACCACCCACTGGTCCTCCGAAGCAAGCGGCAAAAAAAGGCGGTGCTTTTGTGCCTCGATACCGTTCGACACTCGCAACAATGGTTGATATGTCCGATTTGAAGGATGGTGGTTTACGTGAAATCAACATGGATGAAAGTGTCTTCGGTATTGAATTCCCGTCACATATTACATTTGATGACTTGGAAGAGATTTTTAGGCATGATCAACTAGGCGTCAGTAATATGCACTCATACATCCGGTAATATTCACTCATCCGATATATTATTTAATTAGTCCCACAATATAATTTATTTACACATTTCAATGAAAATAATCTAATGTTTATTATGTTTTTATTTAAGGTTGTTGTATGACAGAGTGTTGCGCGGGACTGCATTGTCTAACAGATTCCGTTTCGTGTCTTCCGCCCATTGCAGCGGAATGACAATTGCTTCAGAACCGGAATCAGTTAGACAGCGCTTAGTAGATAGATTCATGTCCACCGGCAATACAGAAAGTCTGCATCTTTGGGCGTATAATACCCGACCAGTAGGGTTAGTTTCTCATTCTTGGTTCATCTAATCTCTGTTTCTTTTGTGTATAGCAAAATTTTCATATAACCTATTGTTTTAATTTATAGAGCACACTGGTTGCTGCTTGCTATCAACCCGATAAGAGAAGTCGTGTATTATCTGAATTCGGTAAATGGTGAATGGACCAATTATCCGGCTATGAAGGAAATCGTTGATTTGTAAGTGGGATCGTTCTAAATATATATTCGTGTATATTTATATATTTTCTTATTTGTGGGATTGATCTAAACATATGCTTTTATATATTTAATAATTAGATCAATACAAGTGTTCCGTAGTCAACGGGACGCACAGGTATCCCGGACTAAATCAAACAACATCACTTGGATCCAAGTGCAGGTACATTACTTTTCACAATTTTGCTTATAATATTTATGCTACTTGGTAAAACAAGACAACTATAGAATCTTATTTGTTTTATTATGTAGTGTCCGCAACAGCGAAACAGTTATGATTGCGGATACTTTGTTTTGAGGTTCATGAAAGAAATTCTTCAGGCGAATCAATTAGAGATTCCGCTCACTGTATGAATTTATAACTTAAGATAATTTCATATAATTTATTACATTTAACTAAATATATCATTTATATTATGTTTTTGTTTTGTAGTACCTTGACGAATTCCGTGCTGCTGGGTACCCGAAGCTTAAGTTGGAAGAAATTAAAGAAGATTTGTGTCAATATTATATTAAGCAATTTTTCATGTAGGATTTGTGTCGATTTGAACTATAATATTATTGATGTAATGATGTATATATATAATTTTGGATATTATAATGGTATTATATTAGTATATATATTGTCTTACTGATGGCTGAAATAATAGCGTCGAAAATATATTACAGGTCAAAAATATATTACAGGTCGAAAATATTACAGGTCGAAAACATTACAGGTCGACTGGGAGGATTAAATTATAGGCTGTACATAAAAATACCTCATTTAGAAACGACAGCGCTTTTAAAAAGCGCTCTTAAAGGTCCACCTACTAAAGCGCTTCTTAGTAAAAGCGCTGCCAAAGACCAGTAAAAAAGCATAAAAAATTAAAAAAAAAACGCAGCATACAAAAGCGCTTTTGGAAAAGCGCTCTTATAGGGGGGCCTATCAGAGCGCTTTTTCCATAAAAAGCGCTCTCATAGGGGGGCCTACCAGAGCGCTTTTACAAAAGCGCTTTTGTATGCTGCGTTTTTTTTTTAATTTTTTATGCTTTTTTACTGGTCTTTGGCAGCGCTTTCTGGGAAAAGCGCTCTTAAAGGGGGGTCTACCAGAGCGCTTTTTCCAGGAAAGCGCTCTTATAGGGGGTCCTACCAGAGCGCTTTTTCCAGGAAAGCGCTCTTAAAGGGGGGGTCTACCAGAGCGCTTTTAGAAGCGCTTTTGTTACCTACACCAGCGCCAGCTATTAAAGCGCTTTTAAGCGCTTTTAAAGGCCAAAATAAGCGCTTTAAAAGCCCTTTTCCGTAGTAGTGGTTCAAGAGGGCCTTCCATTGAGTGGGGGATCTCATGCCTCCTTCTTCGGGATTACTTCCTCAAAGTTAACATGACTATACCGCCCGTCCTATTCCTTAAGTGTTACTTAATCCGGGTATAGGATTCGTCCTTTGTAAAAAACCCAAACACCCCAATTTAAACACATAATCAAGCAAATCAAATAATAGTAAACAAATAAGACAAATTAGGATTAACCCACTTAGGGATGGACCAGCAAGAGGTCAATCTTTCCCCAGCAGAGTCGCCAATTCTGTAGCGGTGAAAATCGGAGATCAAGCTATTAATTAACTTGACTCACAAAAGCAAGAGTCGCCATCGCGCTTTATTGTTTCCAAAGGAAAAGGGAAAAGAGCGAAATAAAACCCTAGATATGCAATGTAAATACTAATAAAATACAAAGCGTTTTTGAAAAGAGATCTTATGGTTCGGGGGTTGGTTATACAATGGGAAGGTACTAGCACCCAATGCATCTATAGTACTCTATAGGAACCTTTTGAAATATCTGTTTATTAAAATTGTTCGTTCGATTGAAAAATAGATTGTTTTGACCGAAAGGGGTGTACAGACGGGTTTTTGAAGATGCGACGACCTAATGTCGAAGTTTTTGCTTAAGGGGCATAAATTTTGAAAAGGGTGAATATTTGAGGAAAAATTACCCTAAGCTTTTAATGAATGAGAGTATTCGCTCGATCGTTTTTGAGGACATGAAGTCAACAAAAATTAGACGATTCCCTTTGGATTGGCGCAAACAGAATAATCAAGTAAATGCGAGATATTTAAACAGAAAATTATGAGATAAATGATATACAACAAATTAAATAGGAGACTGAGTGTGAACATGCATTTTTAGATTTTTGTTTAATATATGAAGAGAAAAATGTTTTAATTGGTTACGCATTTTAACATAGATAACAAGTAATGAGAATTAATAGAAATGTTTTTTAGGTTTTATATGTTTCTATTTTTTATGTTTTTGTTAATAATATAGAGTATTATTTAAGAGTTATTAAACAATTAGATTAAATCTTTAAGCTCTTAATTTAAATCTAGTTAAAAAAAAAACTAAAATTAATAGATTAATCCTAAAGTTTAAACTAATAAAATAAAAAGGGTCAAATTATTAAAATTTGTTTAATTAACTTATATCTTTTTTTTTATTAGATCTTACTAATTTAACTAAATTGATAATAATTCTAAAAAGGCTAAGGAAATCAAAAGTAGAAAAAGAAGTATCAATAACCAAAGGGGGGTAAACAAATAAACAAATGCATGGGCTTGTGGAGACGTAAACGCACAAGGCCCAAGGCGAATTTCTCTTTGGCCAAAAAAACACACACCATCATCAGGTTTTCATCAATTTTATTAATAAGATAAAAAAAGAATGAAAAAAAAAAGGAAATCAAATAAAACAAAAAACGGTGTGTAATTAATTAGGGATTAGAGGTTTTTTGGCCCTTCGTGTGCTTCCAAAACGAGTCCTCTCTTTCAACTCTCCAAACATCTACCACGGCTCAACCCTTTCTCTCCAACCTGAAACTTCTACGGCCCCCCTCCTCGTCGTCCTTGCATGTCTCCAAATCTCCGCCTATTGCCAAAAATTCCCCTCTCCACTAAAAAATATAAAACCTAGGAAATGTTGTAAGCTGGCCACCGCTGGTGGCTGCGTCTTGGAGGTTGGTAGATGCCGGCTAGCTCCAGTCCTTTATGCAACATCAATAATTCACAGTCGTTAAAGAATCGCAGTACGGCAATGGGTTTAAGAGAAGCTAGTGTTTCGTTCCTTTGTTACCGTGGCGATGGGTTTGAGAGAAGATAGTAGAGGGGTTCGAGAGAGAGAGAGATTGGATGGTGGCTCGTGAGCAAGTTGGAGCGTGGCCTGTGCAGCAGAGGACGAAATGGGTTTGGAGTTAGGATGGCGAAGATTGATGATTGGGTGTTGGAAATGGAGTGATGGAGATGAAGAGCGGAATGATGAGGAGACTCGGGACGGTGATGATAGTGGTTAAGGGTGTTTATCGCAGAATTGAGACGAGGTTGTTGGGGAGAGAAGAGGAAGCTGCATGAAGGGGAAGAGGAAATCGATGGATACTGTTAGCGCGGTTAGTTGTTGTTATTTGTTTATTTGTTTTTTTTTTAGATCAAACACCAAACACTGCAACTGTTTTATTTTCCAAATACTTAGAAACTTTTAGCGTAGAAATAGAAAGCTAGACATAACAATGTTGTTAAGCAGGAAGACCAGCTTCTTCCAGCAGCTGTTTCACCTTAGTGATGTAATCACTCGTTGCTTCATCCTTGGATTTTCCTTCAACTGCCTTCCATGCATCCCATTTGGCTCTGTCCTTCTGGCTGAGAATTCCAGGACGAGCGGTGGTAACAGGTCCAACAGTGGCTTGCTTGTACAATCCATAAAGGATAAGCAAGTTTCATTTGATGGACTCTCTTTTAGAGTCTTGACTTTGGCAGCATGCTCCTCAAAATCCTCCGGCAAACCCATGATGTGTGTTTTGGTTGGGAGATTGAAAGAGAGTGAAGTGAGAGATATGAAGTATGGCGCGGATTTGAGAATGGCAGAAGAATTGAATGAAGATGATAGTGATGAACCGCGAAGTTCGAATGGGTAATTGAGAAAGGTTTGTGAATTTTCTATATTATTTCAAGTTGGCTTTAAATTAACAGTGTTTATATGATTGTGTTGGTCTTGCAACATTATGAATTTTGAAATTTATCGATCAAGTTATTGCCTGTGTTAAATAGGGATTGATGTGTTGCTGCGGGCTCATTGGTGATTCGCAATGATATTAAATGGCCAATTTACATGATTTCAAGAAATTAAGAGAGGATTATTATCCAGTGAGACAAAGGCAACACAACGGTATGAAGATTTATGCGAAAAACTGAAGAAACTCACATGGTCGGAGCTAGTCCGACGGTACAATTCCGGCGAAGTCAGGTAAACTCCGAAGATTTATCGCTCTTTGCTTTCTGCTACTAATTCTTCTTTTCTTCTTCGTCTAAAAAAAACTGGTTGGAATATTGAATAGTTGCAAGTGAGTTGTAGATTGCTGCAATTGATTTTGATTCTATGTGAATGGTTGTTGTTGGATTCAAAGTCAATATTTCCCGTTGATGTCGGTCTTTTTGAATGATTTTGGATAATACTGTTTTATCTATGGTTTTGATACAGTATGCAGGTTATGAAAACAGGTTATGTGGTTTTGCAATGGACTATGGTTTTGAATAGTTTTGATGCAGGTTCTGTGGTTTTGCAATGGACTATGGTTTTTTTGAATGGTTTTGCAGTGATATGGTTTAGCAATATGCTATGGTTTTTTGAATGGTTTTGCAGTGATAGGCTTGTGTAGAGATCCCCTGCAGGTTATGACCTCTTCTCTCTTTTGAAGAGGAGTTTTTCTCATATGACCGTTGCTCCTTTGTTGATGGCTCAGGTTTGAATATATTTAATATATTTTCCTGATGCTCTGCACATATGCTGCTACATATGGTTGACTTTATTTCTATTTCATACTTGAACCAAAACCTGCAAAACTAAACCTCTTTCTCTCTCTACCTCAAGTACAGAAATGATACATAAAAATGATATCCTGTACTGCTGTTCTGAAAAAGCAATAGGCTGGAATATGATGAAAAAGGAAATACTTGCTTGCACATTGTTTGAAATTGCATATCTCTTTTGTCTTGCATGGGAGCCTATGTTACTCTCCTATATGGCTGCAGGTTAACGTTAGCTTTACTTGTGGGAAATGGCATATGCTGTTACTTTTGTATGCTGTATGTTTTTTTTTGAAATATGCATTTGGATTTTTTTGAAAAATGCAATTGATTTCTAATGTGCTATTTTGACAAGAAAAATGATTTGGTGCATGTTTTAATTGTGCATTCATAAAAATTCCTCCCTTTTTGTGAACCGGGAGAAATCCCGTGATTTGCAAAAAGGGCAAACTGATTCCGGCCGTTTGCTTTTAATGATGAACATTAAATTTATTTTCTGCATTTTAATTATTTATTCAATTCTGACTTTTCTTTTAATCGTTTTTTGCAGGTAAAATTTAAATGAGCTGACAAGAGCATTGGATAGAAGATTAGAATTAGAATTTAGGAAAATAGTTTTTTTTATTTTACTTTAAGCATTTGTGTAATTGTCTTTATAAATGTTTTGTAATAACACAATATTTAAATGACAATTGTAATAAATAGAATAAAGTGAATAAAAATTCTATTATTTCCCAATTAATTCTTTTTTCTTTCCAATTATTTATTTATTGTTTATAATTCCTTAAATTATATAATGATTGAAAATCAAATCCAATCATTTAAATTCAGAATGACAAACAAATAAATAAACATCATTGACCAATCAACAAATTCAATTATTTAATTCATTATTCATAAAATTCCAAATTATAATAATTAAAAATAGAATTTTAATTATTTAATCTAGAATGATAAAGAATTAAATAATCATTGTTGATCAATTAATAAACTCATTCTCAAATGCTTATTTCATTATTCACAAGTCTTTAAATTATATAACAATTGAAAAAATAGATTCCAATTATTTAAATTTAAGATAATAAATAATTAATAAACGTCATTTAAATCTTGATCGGTTAATAAATTTAGCGTTCAACAAATAAACAGCTCCCGACCCGAAAAAGTTGTGAATTATGTCAAAACCCTTGCAATGCGAATAATGCAGATGGGAGACGGTATCTTAGGTCAAAATTTGGGGTACAACAGATATGAGTACAACACCAATACCATTTCCGAGTGCATTGGATGCCCCATCAAAAACTAGGGTTCATCGGGATCCTTGTTCAGGTCCGTCATATGGTCTGAATTCTTCACAGTTGTTTACCATCATGATGTCTTCATCTGAGAATTCGAACTTCATGGACTGGTAGTCATCCACAGCTTGGTGAGCCAGGTGATCAGCTAGTACACTCCCTTTTATTACTTTCTGGGTAGTATACTATATGTCATATTCTGTCAGGATCATTTGCCATCTCGCTATTATCCCAGAAAGGGCAGGTTTCTCGAAGATGTATTTTATTGGATCCATTTAGATATCAATAAGGTAGTATGGGTCAGCATATACTGTCTTAGTCGGCGAGCAGCCCATGCCAGAGCACGGCAAGTTTTCTCGAGCAGTGAATATCTTGTTTCATAGTTGGTAAACTTTTTGCTCAGGTAATAAATAACATGCTCTTTTTGGCCAGACTCGTCATGCTGTCCCATCACACACCCCATTTAATTTTCCAAAACAGTTAGATACATAATCAATGGTCTTCCCTCGACTGGTGGCATCAAAACAGGAGGCTCTTGTAGGTACTCTTTGATCTTATTGAAAGCAGTTTGGCACTCATCATTCCACTTGACTACTTGATATTTCTTCAATAATTTGAAGATTGGTTCACAAGTAGCTGTTAGGTGAGAAATGAACCTGGCAATGTAGTTTAACCATCCCAAGAATCCTCTGACTTCCTTCTCGGTACGAGGAGCGGGAATTTCTTGTATTGCTTTCACCTTGGCAGGATCTACTTCAATACCTTTATTGCTGACAACAAAGCCTAGGAGTTTACCGGACCTACCCCAAATGTGCATTTATTTGAATTCAACCTTAGCTTGTACTTCTTTAGTCTCTCAAACAGTTTCTGCAAATGATCTAGATGCTCTTCTTCTGTTTGAGATCTAGCTATCATGTCGTCCATATAGACCTCTATTTCGTGATGTATCATGTCGTGAAATAGAGCTACCCTGGCACGTTGATAGGTTGCCCTAGCATTCTTCAGCCCGAATGGTATAACCTTGTAGAAGAATGTTCCCAACTGTGTGACAAAGGTTGTTTTCTCTATGTCCTCAGGCACCATTTTGATTTGGTTGTAGCCTGAGAAACCATCCATGAAGGAAAACAACTTATGCTGTGTCGTATTGTCAACTAGAATATCAATGTGGGGAAGTGGGAAATCATCCTTAGGGCTCGCCCGATTCAAATCTCTGTAGTCCATGCACATTCGTACCTTGCCGTCCTTTTTGGGCACGTGAACAACATTGGCAACCCATTGTGGATAGGAGGTGATGGCCAAGAATCCAGCGTTGAATTGTTTCATGACTTCTTCTTTGATCTTTTCTGACATGTCTGGTCGCATACGACGAACCTTTTGCTTTACTGGTGGGCGGTCCTCTTTTGTAGGTAGACGATGTACCACAATATTTGCATCAAGTCCTAGCATGTCTTCATACGACCACGAAAATACCTCAACATAATCGTGTATTAATTGAATCATACGCTCTTTGACACTGGGTTCCAGACTGGCACCCACCTTGACTTCTCTTTTGTCTTCTTCGGTACCTAGGTTGATTGTGTCCACTGGTTCCTCGTGGGGATAAATGGTCCTCTCTTCTTGTTGCAGTAACCTGGCGAGTTCCTCTGGTACTTCATAATCTTCCTGACCTTCGTCTTCGGCTTGGTAGATTAGATTTTTAGAGCCACAGAAAGCCATAGCAGAACCGTTACCCATGGGATCCCGAATGGATGTAGACCTGCATTGTGAGTGTGAGTGTGTGTAAGAGTATAACTATCTTTGAAACAAATGAAAATTTAAAAAGAAAAACAATGAGCACAAAGTTTGTATGCAAAAACGTCCATGATTCATTGATGTCAGATGGAAATGAGATAATAACCCTTACAAATGGACCATTGTGCCTCAGGTAAGACACAAGGTTTTAAGAGTCTGAATTGTTTTAATATTACAAATCCGACAAGATGTAAAGACAAATTACTGTGGGATAAAAGTGATCGGGGCGAAATCTCTAGCTTCCCAATTGTTGAGCCCTCCATTGACAGTTGGGAAAATCCAATCTTCCAGGTCATAATTGTCTTCATCATCCTCCACGGCATTGACTAGGTGGTTGTTGATCTTCAAGGGTGGTCCTCCGGCACGAGTGCGGCGTACAACCTTCTAGGATCCTTCTTCTATCAATCCCTTAGCATCCTTCAAAGACGACATATTAAGCGGAGGCCTTGTAATCTTGGGAACTTGAGACACAACCTTGGTTACTGCCACATCTTGCGGGACATCTTCAAAGTTCTGGAATGGAGTTTCAATAAATTCACCATCTAATTCCACATATCTGAAGGAATTAGAAGACTGACCATATACTTTTCTTCTCAATGAACAATGATGATTTTCCCTTGAATTCGATATTTCAGCATTTGATGCAACATCGAGGTAACGACACCAGCATTGTGAATCCACAGTCGGCCTAATAAGCAGGAATATGAAGGGAGAATATCCATTACATAAAAAGTTGAATCTAAAGTTTGGGTTCCAACTTTTATGGGGATGTCCACTTCCCCATGCACCATTCTTTTTGAGCCGTCAAAGGCCCTCACTACTATGTTGCTTGGTTTCAGGGTCAATCTTTCACAGTCAAGCCTATCAAGATCTTTTTTAGGCAACACATTCAGAGAGGAACCGATGTCAACCAAGACATGAGCAAAAGTCATGCCCCTGCATTCAACTGAGACATGTAATACCTCATTATTCTTCCTCCCTCTTGGCGTTAAATCAACATCCGAAAAACCTAAACCATTATCTGTGGTCAAGCTAGCTACGCAGTCTTGAAACTGATCGGTAGATGTTTCTTGGGGTACATGGGCGGTCTTAAGGAATTTTACCAAGGCCTTTGCATGAGTCTCGGAACATAACAATAGAGCCAGCATGGAAATTTTTGATGTAGTTTTCCCCAGTTGCTCGACTACATTGTAGTCGCTTCTTTTTATGATCTTTAGAATTTCTCCCATCTCTTTTCGGGAGGTCTCAGGGATAGCTATTGATTGTACCTTCGTCCGGACAGGCTCAACCAGAATACCTTTACCTCGAGTCTCGGTTGATTCGACAGCAGGAATGTCAGTAGGGGTGACAATAGGGATTGTAATAGTTTTGTCAACATGAGTATTAACATAGATGATTGCTAGACTGGGAATAGTTTTTGGAGGAGCAACAACAACAGGAATGATTACGGGTCCAGAAATAGCTTTGGAGGAGCAATTTCTGGAGAGAATACCCTTCCACTGTGGGTTATCTTACTAGTCCCTGTGATATTACTGAAGTCGGAGTCATCTTTCTCAGAACTTGAATCTTCAGCAGCTGGCCAATCTTGCTTGATACTGTGGTAGTAGACATCACCTCCATAATTCCATGGGACGGTTTTGTCTGATGAATACGGGATTGATCCAGGCATTATAATTATCAACGAAGCTACTTTAAAAACTGATGTAATTCTAACGGGTCTTTTGGTGGAGACCCTGGAAGATATGTCGGAAATGGTCACGATGGAA